AACCACTCTTTGAAGGAGCAGTACTCAAAGTTTTCCTAAGGCATTTCTGAAGGATTTCCAGGAAGCAGTGAGCTCAGCCTAGGGTCATGATTAATAACCTGTTTCCCAGAACTTTAAATTTTCCACCTTAGTTTCCACTTAGGAATTGCTTCTGGCCCCTCGTGACAGCACGTGGCAGAGTTAATTGTGCCAGTTCAACTTCTTGTCTGTCACACCCAGCACCTGCTACCAGCTTCTTCCTTAAGTTGCTGGGCCAGGGTCCTCTGGTCTGAAGAGAATAGCAGCCCCTTCTGCTTTTGGCCTCAGCACTGGCTGGCTGATTTGAGGTTCAGCATCACTTGACTAGGTGAGAGGAAACAGTGCTAAGGCTTGGTTTGAAGAGCCAACATGGCAGCTCCAGGGTCCGTCACAGGGGTTTCAAAATAATGAGTTCAAAGATAACTTCCAGTTCCTCATACAAATGCCATCCTATGTCTGAGGGGGCAGATGCCTGTGTATATTGGCTGACATTCTCTTTCTGGAATTTGTGAGCAGCTAATCCTAAGCATGTATTTTTGTACCAACTAAGTGCTTTATGATCCCTATCTCATTTCATCCACATGGCATCCCTTTGAGGTCGGTATGACTGTGACCCTCACCCCCACTTGACAGAAAGAGAAGTAGGTTCTGTAAGATGAGGTGATCAGTCCAGGATCTCCCAGCTAGGAGGTAGTGAGAGCAGAGCTCTTACCTGCGATCCCTTTCCAATTTCTCACTGAACTCTAGACTGTCTAAATTGAAAGAGACAGCGGGGATACAAAATCAATGTGCAGAAATCACAAGCATTCCTATACACCAATAACAGACTTAAAGACAGCCAAATCAAGAACAAACTGCCATTCACAATTGCCACAAAGAGAATAAAATACCTAGGAATACAACTAACAAGGAACGTAAAGGACCTCTTCAAGGAGAACTACAAGCCACTGCTCAACGAAATAAGAGAGGACACAAACAGATGGAGAAACATTCCATGTTCATGGTTAGGAAGAATCAATATCGTGAAAATGGCCATACTGCCCAAAGTAATTTACAGAATCAACGCTATCCCCATCAAGCTACCAATGACCTTCTTCACAGAACTGGAAAAAAAAACACCTTAAACTTCATATGGAACCAAAAGAGAGCCCGCATAGCCAAGTCAATTCTAAGCAAAAAGAACAAAGTGGGAGGCAACACACTACCGGACTTCAAACTATACTACAAGACTATAGTAATCAAAACAGCATGGTACTGGTACCAAAACAGAGATATAGACCAATGGAACAGAACAGAGGCCTTGGAGGCAACACAACATATCTACAACCATCTGATCTTTGACAAACCTGACAAAAACAAGCAATGGGGAAAGGATTCTCTGTTTAATAAATGGTGTTGGGAAAACTGGCTAGCCATGTGCAGAAAGCAGAAACTGGACCCCTTCCTGACACCTTATGCTAAAATTAACTCCAGCTGGATTAAAGACTTAAACATAAGACCTAACACCATAAAAACCCTAGAAGAAAATCTAGGCAAAACCATTCAGGACATAGGCGTAGGCAAGGACTTCATGACCAAAACACCAAAAGCATTGGCAACAAAAGCCAAAATAGACAAATGGGACCTAATCAAACTCCACAGCTTCTGCACAGCAAAAGAAACAGTCATTAGAGTGAATCGGCAACCAACAGAATGGGAAAAAATGTTTGCAGTTTACCCATCTGACAAAGGGCTGATATCCAGAATTTACAAAGAACTAAAACAGGTTTACAAGAAAAAAATAAACAAGCCCATTCAAAAGTGGGCAAAGGATATGAACAGACACTTTACAAAAGAAGACATACATGAGGCCAACAAACATATGAAAAAATGCTCATCATCACTGGTCATCAGAGAAATGCAAATCAAAACTACATTGAGATACCATCTCACGCCAGTTAGAATGGCAATCATTAAAAAATCCAGAGACAACAGATGCTGGAGAGGATGTGGAGAAATAGGAACACTTTTACACTGTTGATGGGAGTGTAAATTAGTTCAACCATTGTGGAAGACAGTGTGGCGATTCCTCGACCTAGACATAGAAATTCCATTTGACCCAGCAATCCCATTACTGGGTATATATCCAAAGGATTATAAATCATTCTACTATAAGGACACATGCACACGAATGTTCATTGCAGCACTGTTTACAATAGCAAAGACCTGGAACCAACCCAAATGCCCATCGATGATAGACTGGACAGGGAAAATGTGGCACATATCCACCATGGAATACTATGCAGCCATAAAAAACGATGAGTTCGTGTCCTTTGTAGGGACATGGATGAATGTGGAAACCATCATTCTCAGCAAACTGACACAAGAACAGAAAATCAAACACCGCATGTTCTCACTGATAGGCGGGTGTTGAACAATGAGAACACATGGACACAGGGAGGGGACACTACACACTGGGATCTGTTGGGGGGAAATAGGGGAGGGACAGAGGAGGGTGGGGAGTTGGGGAGAGATAGTATGGGGAGAAATGCCAGATACAGGTGATGGGGAAGAAGGCAGCAAATCACACTGCCATGTGTGTACCTATGCAACAATCTTGCATGTTCTTTACATGTACCCCAAAACCTAAAATGCAATAAAAAAAAAAAAAAAGAAAGAGACAGCGGACACCAACCAGACCCAGGGTTGCAAATGCCCACAGGGGCCAGGGGCCAGGCAGGGGACTAGAGGGCAGGCAGGGGAATGCACAGACGGTAATGAACTGGAGAACACACCTGCCTAAAGGCATTCAAATTAAAACCAAAACACCACTCTGACTTCAGATTCTAGTTCACTTACTTCACAGATGGGGAGACCGAGATCCAGGGAGGTGATACGGAAAAGGCAGTGCACTGTGGTAAAATGTTCAAGGGCTTCGGGGACAGCCAGTTCTCATTAGGAACTCAAGCTCTATCCCCTGCCAGCTGTGAGACTCTGGGTAATCCACTGTGCCTCTCTGTGCCTTTCTTATGTGTAACATGGAAATGATCTCTGCCTCATATAATTGCTGTGAAGATTAAGAGAAGTCAGCATATGCAAGATGCCCAGCCCTGTATGTGACATTTATTTCAGGAATATACAAAAGCTAGGGAAGATCTTCGGACACGTCTTTTCCACATGCTACCTCCACTCCCAAGATGACCTAAACTCATTGCCAGGGTGACTGAAGTGGGGTAGGTCAGGAAAAGCACACTGATAACAACAGTGACTTTGACACACAAAATAAGAACCAAAAGCCACCCTCATCTGGTACATGAAGGCCTGGTTGAGGAGTATAAGGCATTCCACATTTCCACTCCCCACTTCCTGGACCACAAAGTCTAGGTATCTTCCTTCCAGAACATCACTTCCTCACACCACCTTAGGAAAAAGCATGTCTTTTTTGATTACTCCAAATCTCAAAATCCTGAGGGTGCTGGGATGAAGCAGAGGAGGCAGCCCATGCCTTCTTACTGCCCATGCCCATGGGTGGGTCCATGGCAGCAACAGTCCACCTTCAATGGGATGAACTGCTGGGGAAGACTGCAGCTTTAAGAAATGCCAAGGGCCATTAAGAACCCTCCTGTTAACTAGTATCTTAATTCAAATAAATAGTTTCAAAATATCACAACTTCCTGAGGATTCGGGTCTCTTACACCCTTAAAGAAAGCCCTTTATTTATCAAGACCTAGGACCTTGGAAATTCAAAATTCAAAATCTGACGTCTTTTGCTTTTTTTCTTTTCTTTTCTTTTCTTTTGCACTCTGGCTGTGCCTATCCTTCCCTTGTGGCAGGAGAGGGCAGAACTACGTTAAATGATGAGAGAGAGGCAAATAAAGAGATGTTCCCCCTTCTTCTCCCTCTTTCTTGCCTAACTAGGAACTAAGATGGCAGGCTTTAAGTTTAAATTAAGTTGTGTCTCCTTTGTACCTATGTGCCAGGCTTTCTACTGGGCAATGGGGCATAGCAATGGGCTACACAGACACGCAGAGGGTGCACGTGGTCTAGTGGAGACACAGGGAACTGAAGTTATGCCGGCAATTATGTAAATACAGTTCAGTTAAACATGAAGGGGTTCAGGATCATATGAGAACATATAAGTAGATGGTTGCCCTCAGTCAACAGTGTTAGGGAATAATACTGACCATCTAGTGCTATGTAAATGGTTGAGCATAACACAGGGCCTAGTGCTTAAGAGATACTCAATAATGTCAATTCCTTCTTTCCTCTCTCCCCAAGTGTACATGCTTGTGTATGTGTGTGCACACATATAAACACACATATACACACATCACTAACACTCTTTCTCTTTGTTCAAGAACACTTTACCTAAAAAATACCCATAAAAACTCAGAAGTAACTCAATGTTGCCTGTTTTATGCCTTCTTTTAACTGCCCTACAGGCGCCCGTTTTTAGCTACTCTGGGAAACTGAAAACCTCGGGTACTTTGCTCCTAAAGCCATAAAGGCCCAACGCAAAGGGAGAAGAAATAAGGACAGTTCATTTCATACTCAATTTGGAAATACAGAGATCATCTAGTTTTGTCCCCTCATTAGGTACAAACGAAGAAACAGACCCAGAGAGTGTGAAACACTTGCCCAAGGTGACAGTTTCCTTGGGTGACCCTTCTAATACATGGTAGCTTTTTGGTTTTTTAAGCTGAAATCTTTGCCTGTTAGCTTTAACTTTTCAAATATATATATTTAATGTGTTAACTGGGAGGTAGGCCCCCCCACATTCAAGCCATCTCAAGCCACCCGGGAACCCTCAGTTCAGGGACACCAAGTAAGGGACCTGGGCACAACAAGGGCCCCCTCTTTTTCTCTCTACAGAGTAGCTTGCTTAGTTTCAAATCCTGAAAACAGATACCAACAAATAAAACGCCGAAGGGCTTACATGTCCTGTTTATATTCCAGGCATAAACAGCAAACTTTTTAAAGGAAGCAATAAAAAGATCACAAACCCAAGGTTAAAGATTTCCAGCCCCTCTCCATCTTGGAGTTTTCCACACAGCTGCTGCAGCACTGGGTTTATATGTGATAAATTCATGAAGTCTGACCATATCTGTAACTGAAATTTAACACAATTGTATTGGTGAGGGGGATGATTACAGGGGATTTTCACTACTTTCAGAGACTTTTCTTTCCAGAATGTTTAAAAAATTTTATACCACCTTTGTAATCAGAAAAAAAAGTAAAGGTCTTACAAACACCAATTTCTCAGAGAAGATTTATTTCTTCACCTATATCTGGAGCAAGGAGCTGCTTTTAAAGCTCTGAATATTCTGTCAAAGTTCTCTGGGTAAAAATGAAACAGCATCTGAATGGAGCCCATCTGTGAGACTTAAGGCTCCGACTAGCCTTAGGCAGTTTCAGACAAAGCCATAATTTTCAGAGCAAGCTCACATATATCATAACATAAAAATAGACAGTTTGTGGCCAACAGGCTGGAAAGCAAGCTCTCCAGAGAGCTCGGCCTCCAAGCTCTGCTTCTCCCTGGAGGTGCCGGACAGGGGAAGAGAGTAAAGTTCTACTTACAAGAGCAAAGTTTCCTCAAAATTCAGTGGTCCTCAGTCAAAAGTGGAGGCAGAATTTAAGACACCAGGATTCAAGGTTAGCAGTCCAGCCAGACCTGTGGTGCAGGCAGGATCCTCACTTTACCCCCCTCTCTCTTCCCCGTGTCTCCTAAATGAAAAGCACTTCGAGGTTTTAGTGGGTGTTTCCCATGTCTCGGGCCAAGTAAGTCCCCATTTGTTGTAATCCAATGCTCAGCCTGATGATGTCAACCACACAACTCACAAGCTCAGTTTCCACCTCTCTATCCACGGGAGAGACCCATTTCCTGTGGACAATAAGCCAGGGGCTGTAGCTGCACCCCAGGCTGCCACACTCGCCTAACATCCTTCCTTCAATTTTCAACCCTGCAGCTTTAGTAACAAAAGGCTTCCTATCCACTCACTGAGCCAGGGCTTCTGGGTAAACCCCTTTGCTTCTTAGTGAGTTGTCTACCTTGCCATTTGTTTAATTCATTTCTTTGGTATATAACATACTAGTTAGGGTGGAGATCTTCATCCCACCCCACACCCATCTCTTTCTTCCTGCCCAATTTTCCAAGTTGTTTAATTTCTCCCAAGTCTCCCAGGTACATGCTGGGCGCAGTACATGAGACAGTCCTTCAAGTTGGGGAGGTGACATGTGCCCACAGGGAAGGCTTGGAAACAACACTGTCACCTGGGGAACTGGGTTCGGGTCTTGGTCAGGCCTTCAACTGAATGAATGACCTGAAGCAAGTCACATCCCTCTCTGGACCTCAGTTTCCCTATCAACAAAATGCTAGCTTTGGTGCTTTCCACTTCTGAAATTAAGTGACTAAAAATCACTGACAGAGGAGCTTAATAACAAATGCATTATATATACAGCATTTTACTACAAGCTACCTAACTACATGCTTGAGGGAAGGAAGAACCTGGAGAAGTAAGAGGCCACTGCCCAAGATGCCAGGCTCAGCTGGGCTCCTTTAACCCCCTTTTATAAAGGAGACAAATAGATTCTCTGGGAGTAAAACCAAAAGAATTCACTGAGCAAGTCCTCAGGGACAAGAAAAGCAGCAGCATAAACTACCAGATAAGATAAACAAGTAAGAGAATTTAAATGTCCTTAGGGACTAACATGGAACAGCAGTAGTTACGAGAGATAATTTCTTGCATTTGTCTAGTGCTTGATGGTAAAGAAAAAGAACATCTCTCTGCTTTTGTGTATAATGGGAAGCAATGTGACATGCACAGCGGTTAGAAACATCCTTTGGGAGCCACAGATGTGGATCTGAGTTGTGTGTGACTTAATTTCTCTGAACTTCAGCTTTTTTAACTGTCAAGTGGGATACTAGTGCCTCTGTTTTAGGATTGTGGGAATTAAAAAACACATGTAAGGAAACGGAAAGTATTTGGTACTTACTAAGTATTGAATAAATGTTAGCTCTCCTTGTACATAATCTCATTTAATTCTCATAACATCCTTAGGAGAATTAGATATTCAGAGGCTACATTATTAATCTCCCTTTCCTGGATAAGAAGATACATTCAGAGAAGTTAGGTGACATGCCCAAGGTCACACAGCTCAACGCGAAACAGATAGAATTAGAAATGGAGCCTCAACTCCTAACTAGGTCAGCACACGTGCCACACACATGCCAATGCCAATGTCATTTCTCAACACTGTTGCTGCAGCCAGCCTGGTAAAGGAAACACTCAGGCCGCTAGGTCAGAGAGGCTGCTTTCCTTGCTTTGCTACCAAACCCTGTGTGGCCTAAAGCAAGTGTGGGCTTCAACTAACTCTCTCAAAAGGAGCAGATCTGATCTCTTTCAATGCTACTTTGATGGTAATGGGAAGGTAGGGATGGAGCTTTACTGGCAAAGCGGCTCTCTATAGGTGGGGAAGAGGCTATGGTAGTTTGTGGTTTAATAAGATTTTTTATTGGTTCTCAGAAAACACAAATGCTCATCAGAAAAGACCTGAGAAAACATGCTATATTAGGAGGAAGTTTGCCAATCTGAAAGCTTTCAACAACGTGATATAGGACTGTTGTGGAATAAAAACCACACCAGCCTAGTAACCCACAGAGAGCAGTTGTTCACAGTTCAGAGACCTGGGCTTCCTTCTGGTCCCCAGACCTTCTTGCTGTGCCTTGGTTTCCTAATGCAAAATGAGAATAATAGCCTTACTCCCCAAGGTTCTTATGTGGGTTAAATGCCTGCCACATATTATTCATTCAAAAATACTTGAAAAATAAGCTGCAGTGTTTCATAGTAAAGACACTGCAGCTTATTTTTTTCCTAATTCTGAATTTCTGATGAAATTATAATTTCATCATGCTTTGCCCTAATGGTGATGTGACAATAAAATAAAGTCACATATTGGTCAGGAAGTCAGAAGGGTCCTGTATTTCTCCAGAATGTCAGGATGAGTAATGAACAAAAACCTACCCATAGCTGTCAGGCCTGATCTTGGCAGCAACACTCAGTTTGGAGGGACTGGAGTTGGGGCCATTGTTTGGCTGATCCTTTATTCCAGAAGCCTGAGTGGGTGTCTCAGGAAATAAGGGTGGGTTCTTGAGATGGGTACTTTGAATCATGTTTTGTTACTTGAACAAAAATAATAGTAAGGAGCCCATTCATAAAAACATCATTTTCTTTAAACATATACTTTGTTAACACTTCCTTTGTGAACTGAATTAATTCTAAGCCTGTGACAGAATCCAGGAAGACAGAATCATAGCAACACTGGCACATTCATTTCTTCTTATTTTATTTTTTTTGAGATGGAGTCTTGCTCTGTCACCCAGGCTGGAGTGCAGTGGCACGATCTTGGCTCACTGCAACTTCCACCTCCTGGGTTCAAGTGATTCTTCTGCCTCAGCTTCCCAAGTAGCTGGGATTATAGGTGAGTACCACCATGCCTGGCTAATTTTTTCTATTTTTAATAGAGACAGGGTTTCACCATATTGGCCAGGCTGGTCTCAAACTCCTGACCTCATGATCCACCCTCCTCGGTCTCCCAAAATGCTGAGATTACAGGCATGAGCCACCACGCCCAGCCCCATTTCTTCTTATAACTGACAATATTGGACACACTATGTGGACTGGGGGCCATACTGTGCACTAAGCACTCTCTAAACACCACTTCATGTCATCCTCACAATAATCAGGTGCAAGAAACATTATCAATATTCACATCCTACAGCTGTAGCAACAGCTGCATGGCGAACCAAACAACCTGCTCAAAGGCTCACAGGAGCAAGGGGAAGATCCTATGCTCTAACTGGGGACCGTCCGGGGCCAGTCCTGAATCTACAACCCCCTTGCACTACTGCCTCTTAAAGGGCTTCCCTTCAGGAAACTTGACTGTTTTTCACAGACAGCAGTATCAGCTTCACTTGAGGATGAAAGAAACTTTGGCTGCTCAATTCCACCTCTACCCCACTTTAGAAGGAGTCTCTCCTTCCTCTGAATTTCCTTAGTACTTTCTGTTTCTCTCTTAAGAAACTTACCCTTTTCTCCTTTGACACATATTTTTTGGGGGCAGGTCTAATTTCCCTAGAATCTGCTAGAATCCTAACTTCTTAAGGAAAAGATCTGTATCTAATTTAGCAGCATTTTGTACATATTATGAGATACTTATTAAAATAAGGAAATCTATAAACAAACCCCAAAACTATTACTGGATGTTTACCACATGCTAGGTAATATTCTGCTTTATTATATTTTATTTATTTATTTATTTTTGTAGAGATGGGGGTCTCACCATATGCCCAGGTTGGTTCTGAACTCCTGATCTCAAGTGATCTGCCTGCCTCGGCCTCCCAAAGTGTTCAGATTATAGGTGTGAGCCACCATGCGTGGCTGTATTCCAACTGCTTTATATAATTACCTCATTTAATCCCATAAGGATCTCTATGAGGTCGGCATCATTACTATCCCCTCTTGACACATGAGAAAATCACAGACACAGATTGATTAACTTGTTTAGATGAAATGTTAGTCCATTTTACATTGCTATAAGGGAATCCCTGAGGCTCAATAATTTATGAAGAAAAGAGGTTTACTTGGCTCATGGTTCTGCAGACTATATAAGCATGGCTCACGCCTGTAATCCCACCACTTTGGGAGGCCAAGGCAGGCAGATCACAAGGTAAAGAGATCGAGACCATCCTGGCCAGCATGGTGAAACTCCATCTTTACTGAAAATATAAAAATTAGCTGGGCATGGTGGCATGTCCCTATAGTCCCAGCTACTCGGGAGGCTGAGGCAGACCAATTGCTTGAACCCAGGAGGCGGAGGATGCAGTGAGCCAAGATCGCACCACTGCATGCCAGCCTGGCGAAAGAGCAAGACTCCATCTCAAAAAAAAAAAAAAGAAAAAAGGCATGGAGCCAGCATCTGCTTCTGGTGAGGCCTTAGGAAAGGGGAGCCGGAATGTCGCATGGCAAGAGAGGGGAGCAAGTGTGAGAGAGAGAAGTGCCAGGCTCTTTTCAAACAACCAGGGCCAGGCATGGTGGCTCATGCCTGTAATCCCAGCACTTTGGGAGGCCCAAGGCAGGTGGATCACCTGATGTCAGGAATTCAAGACCAGCCTGGCCAATGTGGTGAAACCCTATCTCTACTAAAAATACAAAACTTAGCCAGGCTTGATGGTGTACCCATGCAGTCGGAGCTACTCAGGAGGCTGAGGCAGGAGAATTGCTTGAATTTGGGAGGCAGAGGTTGCAGTGAGCTGAAATCACACCACCGCATTCCAGCCTGGATGACAGAATGATAATCTGTCTCAAAAAAACACAAAAAAACAATGTTTTGAAATCAGAAACTTAAACCTTTTTTGGGGGAGGGGAGTCAAACCCATAAAAGATGACTAAGACATCGCTCAAAGTATTTTTTTGGTTTTAGAGTACACGTGGCTGCTTTTTCTTCAGCATTTGATGTTCAGAGGATCCACTTCATGGTCCCCTTTGGACTGCTGATTGGGTGTGTCTGAAGGAGAGCTGCAAGGAGAAGAGAAGCCTGACCCCAGTGAATATGCGGCTAGAAACTGGATAGGTTTATAGAATATCACATTGTCCCCTCTCTGCCTATTTTCAAACCACTTCCCACCAGCTTGAGATAAGTTTCCAACTAGGGCTGTTTTGGGAGAGATGGACCTTCACTTACGCTAACTTTAAACAGTCTTGGACTCATTGAATTTTGCAGCTGAACGGAACATGTGGTCTCCTCATTTTAGGGGTGAGGAATGCCAGATCCAGAGAAGGTAAGGGACTATCCTGAGGTTGTACAGCCTGTTGCTCTAACAGAAGGACCTTCTATTGGTTTGAGACTCTCACTTGCTACTGTACTTTTAAATACAAATTTGAAGGGCTCTTCCCTCTTGTTTTGGTTAACTCCTACTCAGCCATCAGATTTCATATTAAATGTCACCTCCCTAGGGTGACCTTTTCTCTGAGCCACGTTAGCTCCCCCTGCTGTATGGGTTTCATGGTACCCCTATGACTCGTCTCATAACCCTTAACATATTTGTAAGTACACGTCCCATGTGTTTCCCTACCAGACTGTAAACTCCACAAGGTCAACACTATGGC